TTGAGGAGGGCACCTGTTGGGATGAGCACTGGGTGTTGTATGGAAACCAATTTGACAATAAATTTCATATTTAAGAAAATTTTAAAAAATAAAAATAAATTCACCCACTTAAAGTAGACAAGTCTGTAATTTCTAGCATATTTTGCAAAGTTATGCAAGTATCACCACTGTCTAATTCCAGAATATTTTTATCACCTCAGAAAGAGACTCTGTACCCATTAGTAGTCACTGCCCATTCTCCCTCACCCCCACCCCCTGGCAACCACTAATATACTTTCTATGGGTATAGATTTGTCGACTCTGGATACTTCATATAATTGGAAGCATACAGGGCTCTTGGGTGGCTGGGTCAGTTGAGCCTCCGACTTTGGCTTGGATCATGATCTCACAGTTCATGGGTCCGAGCCCCATGCCGGGTTCTGTGTTGACAGCTCAGAGCCTGGAGCCTGCTTCGGATTCTGTGTCTCCCTCTCTGCCCCTCTCCACTTGTGCTCTGTCTCTTTCTCTCAAAAATAAAACATTAAAAATTTTTTAAAAAATAAATGGAAGCATACAGTATATGTCTTTTGTGTCAAGCTTCTTTCACTTAGCATGCTCTCAAGGTTTAACGTGTTGTAGCATATAGTGGTACTTGGTTCTTTTTTATGACTGAATCAGTCACATTCCTTTGTGGGACTATACCACATTTTGCTATTCACTTATCAGTTGATGTCTCTTTGAGTTGTTTCTGCCTTTTGGGTATTGTGAATAATACTGCTTTGAACGTTTGTGTACAATTATTGTGTCAACACATGTTTTAGTTTCTCTTGGGTATATACCTCCAAGTGAACTTGCTGGGTTACATAGGAACTCTGTGTTTAATTTTTTGAGCAGTTGCCAAACTGTTTTCCAAAGCTGCTGTACCATTTTACATTCCTGCCCGCAGTATATGACACTTGTTATCCTCTCCCTTTAATTACAGCCATCCTAGTGCGTATGAAGTTGTATCTCATCGTGGTTTTGATTTGCATTTCCCTAGTGACGAATGATGTTGAACCTCTTTCATGTGCTTATTGGCCATTTGTGAATCTTCTTAGAGAAGTATCTATTCCTATCCTTTGCCCATTTTTAAATTGGGTTATTTGTTGACATGTAAGAGTTGCTAACATATTTTATAAAGAGTTTATTCTTAATGTTTCTATGTTGTGAGGGGGCATTCCAACTTTTTTGGGGTTTTACTGAAACCAAACTATCAGATCACTGGGAGAAACAGTGGTTTCTAGGCAGTTAATGTGTTTGTCTGTTTATTTTGTTTGCATTAGAGAGTAACTCAGACATCTCCTGTACAAGTACCTAACCCATCTTGGATGCACCACCAGTCATACCTCATGCAGCCTTCAGTGAGTGTTCAGAAGTGGGCAGAAGCCAAAGAGGCAATTTGATGTAAAGAAAAACAATGGGAAAAACAATGTAAAGAAAAACAATGTGGGTGTGAGTTCTGGCTTAGAACAAACTCAGAGTTTGTTATTCCGAGACAAGGACTCCTCCACGCCAATGAGCAGGGCTCCTGTTTCTGTTGTACAGCTGGGTTACTACTCACGTGTTGTTTCCCAGGAATTTTAAATGTCTGCCTTCAGTGGTCCTGATAGATGTGAATCATTAACCCTGTCCTTTGGTGCTGCCTCTAGGGTTCAGTTCTGACACCAGGGATGGATCACCCCATTTCTCTCCAGCCTGCCTCCATGATGGGACCTATTACCCAGCAGTTGGGCCACCTCTCCCTCAGCAGTACAGGCACGGTAAAGCAGGACATTTCTGATTTTCAACTCATACTGAGCAAGGGGTCCCTGTGTCATACTCTTCAGCATAAATACTTGTGAATGAGGGCGGCGGTTACTTCGGCATCAGTGAAGGCACACTCAGATGAGGAGAGAAACAGAATACGGCCGTTCTGTTCCCCAGTTCACTCCTTTTAACTGATCCCTACTCGGAAAACTAAACAAATAGTGCTTCTGTCTACATAGCAGTTTATCCAGGAGCTCACACACATGTCCTTAGAAATCCTTACGAAAATCATAGAAAGAAGAATGCATGAAGCTCTTGAAGTTTCTCGTAGGTCAGCTGCATTCTGGCTTGCACAGGAGAGCTTCAAGGCTGTGTGATGAGCAAAAGCAGAAGGCAGGAAAGATCAGGAAAGGAAGGCATGGAGGTGGACGTCTCTCTAAGCCAGTGCACTTTAGAACCACCTGAAATGCTCTTGAAAAAGACAATTAGATTAGACTCTCTGAGGATGGAACATAGGCATCAGTGGTTTTTAAAGCTTCCCAGGGACTTTAAATGTAGCCAAAGAGCCCATCTCTGAGCCTGTTGCTGGTTTTCACTCTAGTACATGCCGACGGCTGCTGCTATGCAAGGAGCGTACATCTCCCAGTACACGCCTGTGCCGCCGTCCAGTGTCTCAGCTGAGGTAAGAGCTTTCTCGTCTCTTTGGATTGAGGATAGGACAACAAACAGGCAGACTTTCACCTGATCAAGATCTTCCTCTAACAGTGATGCTGGTTCTGTGTTCCCAGTCAGCTGGTAGGTATGTGAGTGAATGTAGGAAATAAGGACTTCGTCTGTGTCCTTGAATGAGGCCCTTCCTCACGTTGGACAGACAGTGGTTAATGCTGCTCGTACTGAGTAGTGTCTTGGGAAGAAGACAGAGTGCTCTAATCGTTGAGGAGGTGATGCTGTGTGCGCATGTGTGCGTGTGCTCTCACGGGTGTGCAGAAGGGGGTGGGTCTGGGTGGGTTCTAGTTAGGCTACTTTAGTGGGAAGTCACCAAAGGAATGTGTAAGGTGACCCTCCTACCTTGGCTGTGGTGCAGGAGAGTGGCGGCCAGCAAAATCAGGTGACGGTGGATGCTCCCTCAGATCATGGGGTCTACTCTTTCCAGTTCAACAAGTAACAGCGGTAAGAACCATAGGTTCTCATGTCTGTCATCCTTCTCCCTCCCCCGTCTGGCTTCTGCCTCCTTTAGGATCCCCCTCCCCGTCTGTGGTGAGTACAGGCCTACCTCTTTTTTGTGTGTTTTACTTTATTGAGCTTTGCAGATATTAAACCTTTTTTTTTTTTTTTTTTTTTTTTTTTTTTTTTTTTTTTTTTTTTTTTTTTTTTTTTTTTTTTTTTTTTTACAAATTGAAGTTTTATGGCAACCTTGCTTTGAGCAAGTCTGTCAGCACCATTTTTCCAACAGCATTTACTCACTTCGTGTCTCTGTGTCACATTTTGGTAATTCCAAAATATTTCAAATTTTTTATACATTTGTTATGGTGATCTGTGATCAGTAATTATGACTTTCTGAAAGTTCAGGTGATGGTTAGCATTTTTAGCGATAAAGTACTTTGAAATTTAGGTATGCTTATTTTTTTTAGGCATAATGCTATTGCACACCTAATAGACTACAGTATAATGTAAACATAGTTTCTGTATGCGCTGGGAAACCAAAAATTTCATTTGAACTTGCTTTATTGCGATACTTGCTTTATTGCAGTGGTCTGGAACCGAACTGCAATCTCTCTAAGGCATGCCTGTGCAAATGAATTCTTGGCGATGCTGATGCTCCCAGACTCCAGAGGGCCAACCAGGAATACAGACCATCTGTGGGTCCTGCCAACGACTAACATGCGGTCATCGTTTTTCACTGGCGGGGCCCTGGAAAGAGAAATCTACGCACTCCCTGCCCTCTGCTTATTCCTCCATTCCTGATGGAGCCTGGGGGAGCCGTCACTTTCTGTGTGTGCTTCAGCCAAGGAGATCAAAAGAACTGTTTTTCTTTTTTTTGCAAAGAAAGTTTTCTATTTTGTTTTCAACTGCAATATACTCTTTCCATATCCCAAAGAGACAGAGTGCCTGGAGCTTCTTCTCATCTTTACGCAAAACAGTGTTTGATGTGTTGGGCCTCTCTGGGGAGGCTTTAAAAATTTTTGTCATTTCTTTTTTTAAAGGAAAAAAAAGGTGTGAAAGAAAGAAAGATGCAGAAGTCCTACTGTGGACCCTCACACAGATTTTAGTTATGGGCTTATTTTGGTGTGTGTAGAAGAATATACAGACTTCAGAAGTTTCACTTTATAAAGTCTTAGTTCATACATCCCGTCTCTTCTTCACACATTTTATGCCTTCTTTCTCTCATCCAGACTGTTCTTTTTCTCTTTTCATACAGCAGAGCCTGCCCACTTTGCCTTTTTACAGTTTTTAATTTTGTGAATTTCTTTTTTGAATGAAATTTTGTGTGGACTTTTTAGAGGCCTGGGCAAGGGACAAGGTAGAACACTAAGCAGGCAGTGGAAGCAGCTTGTCCTCCCTCTGCCTTGCTGCATCCTCACAACCTTGGAAGACAGACCAGACTTTGCCTTCAGGAAAGAGAGATGTGATGCAGGCTTGTTAAACAGACAGTCCCACAGTCTTTGGAAGCCATCCTTGAGCCAAATTTGGATGAAGACTAGGTCTTTCCTGGAAAGTTCCAAAAGGGTGGACTTTCTGACTTCTGACTGATTCTTCAGATCACTGAGATCAACACCGTGTGAGGAAGTGTCTCTTCTCCAGCGACAGGTTTACAGAAATACCAGCTCTCCTGTTTTCCTGAAGGATCTTCTTTTTTGCCCGGGGTCTCTGTCCTGTCTTCCTGTCACACGTTGCTGTACTCAGATGAGCCTTTGCAACTGTGACCTTGTTGAATCGACTTGGGCTTTTTCCCCACTGTGGAAGATCATCTGCTTTATCTAGACCAGTAGTTCTGGTCTAGATGAGAAAACCAAGAAGGTGGTTTTGTCCCCTAGAGGCCACTTGGAAATCTCTGGAAATCTCTTGCCTGGGGCTGGGGGCTGTGTGCTCTTGGCATCCAGTGGCCAGAGACCAAGGGTGCTGCTAAAATATCTTACAGTGCACAGGACAGCCCCAGCTCCCCCAGCAAAGAATTATTTGGCTCCAAATGTTGGTAGTGCCAAGGTTGAGAAACCTCATTGTGGACAGTGTTGTTACTGCCTCCTGTAACAGAGGACTTGGTAAGTTCCCACCCTAACCCTGGCTACACAGTGTCCTTTGACACTCAGTGTAACTAGTTGAGAGGGACGGAACTAGGGTCCTTGAATTTTCCCCAGGCTTTGACCTCGGACACCTCTGCATGCAGTGAGAGCTGCCCTCGAGAGGCACGTGCACACACACGTTCAGCGGGATCCAGGTATGGGGACCGCTCTGTGTTGTGCTCTGTGCAGGGTGGGAAGGACAGAGCTCTCTGTAACTGTCCGGGGCAACCTGCTCTACCCTCGTGTGTGTTTGGATCCCTTTTCCAGGGAACCGGAATATCAACAATAAATTTCCTTCTTGTGGAAGGACAATGGGGAGCTAGGACAGAAAAGGGCAATAAATCCCATCTCATTACTTACAAGGTTGGAATCCTTTAAAATCTATATTTTGCTCTTTAACTCCATCTCCTTTGCGAGCCCGGACTCTGTGACATGGAGACAGAGAGGAGAAGGCCTTCGCGCATCCCCTCGAAGTAAGATCCTGTGACTGTCCTCTCCCAGCCACTACCTTGCGCACCATGAGTTGTGCTCCCCTTCACTGCAAGGTCAGGTGCTTTTCACCAGTCCGTGAGACAGAAAGCCAAGCCGAATGATAGAGAATGGAGAGATGGATGGGTGTTTGGTAGGCTGGCTGTTGGGAGAGGAAGGGGATGATGCGGAGGGAAAAGAAGCTGTGGTGTCAGTTCTTGTACATAGAGTTTGGACCCAGCTTCCCCATCCCACCCCTCCCCCGTCCCAGAGGTGAGTCTTTGTGCTCTCTGCCCCTCGACTGCCATTTTGTACAGCCCTGCAGGCAGGGGAGGTGGACGGCTTGGGTCATGTATAAAATGTAAAGGACATAATTGCCACTATTAATTTTCTCATAAGTAAGTCCCACCTCAGGAAGGGCTTATCCCTTGTAAAACAGCCCCAAACCCAGTAACTTTCTAGAAGGGTTTGGCCGACTGGGCAAGTAGCTCTTGTTTCTGAGTCTCCAAGTATGCCATAGATTTCTTATAAGTGGACTTGAAGAGGAGAAAAGAAATCCACAATCCTATTCATTTGATTGATAATTTGGAGGCGCCTTGCTATACCCAGGAGCTTTAGTGCAGCAGGGGCCTTTCAGGTATAGAAACTGTTGTTCATGCAACTGTTGCCTCTCCTCCGCCCTCCCAGACATTTTTTTTTTTTTAACTTAAAAAATTTTTTTCCCCAGAACTCTTGATAGTATTTTCTGTGTTGTTGTTGTTTTTTAATGTTTAAAGGGCCAGGGTTGTGCTTGTTTTAAATAATGAAGTTACCTTTTGTGTATTCGATTCATGTGAATCTACATAATGGGTTCTGTTGAGTGTTTCTGGTTTGGGCAGGTTGGAGCATGGGAAGTGGTGGGAGCCTGAAGTTATTTTTGTAGTAGTTAATGGCACTGTGGAATTTTAGTGTTTGGGTTATGCTCCTGTTTTCCCCCTAGTTGTTAGTTCATTTCTAACAGTCAGTTGCTAACATGGGTGAGTGATCGGAGAAAGGAGAGAATGAGGGATGCTTTTTCTCTCAAGAAATAGCCTGTCAGTGGCAGCAGTGGCAGGGGACTTGTAGGAGGGCCTTCAAGCTCACAGCCTCGGGCCAGGCTAAAGTCTTTAAACACTGTGCCTAGTATTTTCCGAATTGTCTTCACAAGAGCCAAGATCATACTGTCTGCATGTCACATCTCACCCCCACTCATTACAGATGCTTGTAACATTCTGAAAATATTTTGTGCTTTTCTGTTTTTGGTCAAATAGAATACATCAGAGTCCCTTCTTCAGATGATATAATCCTTTTACTAGGCTCAGAGCCTGCCTGTCCTATCTCACATCAGTGTTCCTACTGTTCCTTTCACCCTCTGGGGTGATATTCAAACCCTAGGCTGATTAGACTTTTTGGAGGAGGGTGTGGGTAGAGGATACGGAAGATGTGGGAATGATGATAGGGAGAGATGTTATTTTTTAAGACTGTTTTAAACCAAAGAGTTTGGAGAGCTGCCCAGACTAGGAAGCCTGGTGGCTCTGAAGAGGCAACAGCCATTGTCAGTAATAGATAGGCAGGGGTGGAGGACGTTACGTTCGTCGAGGGTGAAGACTAGACGTGCTGTTCTACCAACCATTCCTGGGTTGGGCCACCTCAGCCTAGCTCCGTTCCTCTTCCTTTCTTAACCTGGTCGGTGAGTTCATTCACCCCCTTGATGCCTGCAGTGCTCATTCCTTGCTGCTTCAGTGTCCTCCTAAGTATGGGTTGCCGCTTTGCACCACATAGGTGCTTGAGAGGCCCAGCTGGGATGGGATGTTGTGGGGATGGTGGATGATTTAGTCTTTTTTTTTGGAAGGGTGGAGGGTAGAGGGTGGAATTTCCTCCCTGCTCTGTTGTGCACATGCTCCACCTTCTGGGAGAGCAGGAGAACTGCATTCATGAAGGGTGACTGAGTTTCTTAACCAGTAGTAAGAAACTTGGGTCAATGATCAGGTCTCAACTTGTCCCCAGGCCCTGTTAAACTAGCTTCAGAGAAGAAGGTGGGGGTTGTGAAGCTCGTATGTAAGAGCTAGGTGTTCAACTTGTGCCTGGCCACACCGATTCCTCTTTAAACCAATTACTCCGTTTTGGTGCTTAGCTACATTTTAGGTCCTTCCAGGCATTAGCAGAGCCCTATTTACTCAGCTTTTGTGAACCACTTTCTTTTGTAAGGAGGGTCTTCCTTCAGCCACTAAGGCCAGCCTGTGAGTTGTGTCACCCTTCTGATCTTTGCTGACCTTGCCAGGGGTGCTTCCCACAGGGCTGCAGTCATGACAGGTGCCCTCGTGCCCATTACCATTGCTCTTTCTCCCTGCCACATCCACTCCATGTACCAGAACTTCCTTGTCCTTGTTACACATCTACCTCACAATTTCACAGTTAAACAAGGGCATAGGCACCTGGTTTACCTCTGTACTCTGTCCTTCCCTTCATGAGCTGGAGGCTAGAAAGGGTTCATGATCAAATGCAATAATTTCTATTTCTGAAATGTCTCCTTTGGGATTTTTAGCTCATTAATCACCCTGGAATAGTGTGCACTCTTCAGTTAGATCTCATTGTGATAGGCTCGGGGAGCGGGGACAGGCCATGTAATGACTGCCTAGGATGTTAATTAATGCTTGGGAGCCACTCCCAGAACCACCACCATTGGTGCACATCTCAGAACTTGAGGATTGAGGGAGTTGACCAGTGTGGCTGCTGTATAGCCAAGAAGGGTTAACAAGTATCAAAAAGGGAATTTGATTTTTATGGTGCTGGAAGCTGGTGTTCCTGTACCTTGTATCTTTAGAGGGTTCACCAAAATAAAACTTCCAGACTGGAGGGTGGGAAGATTTCCCAGCCTGAGTAAAGGTCCTCACTCCATTATGGTGTCCCTATCCCATTTTTTTGTGAGTGGTGCTTTCTTGCATGCACTTGTCATCTTGGACAGAAGTTTAATTTATACTCAAATACATTTTGTACATTTTTTCCTTTATCCGGAAGCTTCTAGTTTTATATTCTTTTCGTGTCTGTGCCAGTGCCACCTACCTTTTAGCTTATTCTTCCTTTTTGACCCTTGGTATTTTCATGTTCCTTCCCTACAATTTGGTAGAGCTTCATTTTGTCTTTCAACTTTTGTTTTGAAATAAAACACAAAAGTCTACCTCCTGGTGTTTTATCCATGGGGGGAAGTTGGGAGGTTGGTGATGGGCCCGTATCTGCTACTGTGGGAACACAAGTGGCAGCTTAGGAAGCCAAGGCGGCATCTCACAAGGTGGGCACTAGGCACTCTGAATCCCACTTTGCTCCAGCACCTTGGCCAGGAGCACTAAGAATCTGTTCCATCCACGTAAGCAGAAATCCTGCTCTCGATGCCTCTTGTACAGCAAAGGCCAAGCTTGGAGGTTTGGGGCTACACCTTGGAAGTTTAGGGGCATATTGCTCCCCTGCCTGCTGTCTCCTGTACAAGTCATACTCACCCTAACACCCAGTCTTTCCCTTAGGCAAGTGTGAGAACCTATGCTGGAGGGAAGATAAATACACAAGAGTCTTTTGAATCTCTATCAAATGTGGTTTTTATTTCAACTGACAAGCACTTTTCTACAGCTGCACTTGTGGAACATCACATGGCAAAAACAGGAGTTTTTTCTCTAGACCTTTTTTTTTCTTTTTTAAACCTTATTAAAAATGAGATTGGTCCTAAAAATATAGAAAGAAATAAATTTAAATTCACAAAAAACTGTACATTATCAAAAAGTCACTAAAACACCACATTTGGTTATATAAAAAGTCAAGTCCCTTTTGTTGTAAAAGGAACATGGAAACTTGTTGGTGTTGATGGTGTGGTTTCTTCCTGTTACCAGACTGATAGAGGGGAGGGGAAACAAAGGGGCAGGGAGTGGGTTTTATTATTTTTTTTTTAACCTGCCTTCCCTACCGAATACTCTTATTTGACAAGAAGAGAAAAATCCACCTAGCTCAAGGGGCAGTGAAGATGAGGGAAAGAAACATGAGAAATGGCCCCTTTGATCATGCCCTACCCCACCCCCCTTAAAGCCCCCACTTCTTCAAACTGAGGCTAGGACTCCACCCCACCTTAAGAGTGCCTGGTCCCTAGGGAAAGAGATGGAGCTGGGAGAGGAATACAAAACAGGAACATGGAGATTTCACTCCCCCATCCACCTCGCCTCCAACAATAGAAATTAATCTAGTACATTTTATACCAGGGGAAAACTGCCATGGGGAGAAAGAAGAGCCCCCAACTATAACAGTTCCAAACGTTTGACTAACACAAACTTTGTTACAGCGCAGTTATTTAGATAAAATATAAATATTTATGCATAATATAAAGTCAATTCAAATATTCTTCAATCCACCTCTTAAAAGCAAAAAAAAAAAAAAACAAAAACAAACATAAAATTAAAAGTTTTGAGGTTTATCTGACAGAAAAGGCGACTTTAGAAATAGGCCATGGGGGAGGTGGGGGGCATAGAGGAATAAGAAAGGGGCTGCCCCAGGACCTCCCCACACTGCCCCCCACCCCCTTCAGTGGCTGTCCAGTGCTGCCAGAAGGACAAGGAATGCTCCACCTTGCCTGGCACGCCCTCCCCCACCAATGGAACATTTCTTGGTCACCTGGGCTCTCTGCTTGGGCCGCCAGCAGCCACCTCCCCAGTGCAAGTACCCGTAATCTCTGATGGGAGGGGCTCTGCTGAGCAGGAGAGCAGGGGGTGGGGGCCCATGGCTGTGGCTGGGAGTTAGCAGCTTTCCTCTCACAAGCTGGGGCTTAACCTGGGCATAGTCACATGTAGGGCAGCGGTGGGCCCAGAGCCCTCTTCCCTACTCTCTTGTGCTCTGGGGTCTCTGCTGCTGGGAAAGGGGCCCCGGGTATGAAGTAGGTAAGGGAAGAAAAGCACAACTAAACCCACAGAAGCTCATGGGATTAAGAAAAGATCCAGTTCTACCCCTCTCCCTACAGAAGCTTAAGACTCCAAGCTACTGAAAGGAGAGGGAGTTCCTGCTGAAAGATTGCACAGTTTGAAGAGGCTGGAACAGAAATGCCTGGGAGAGGAGACACAGCCTTATACCCAGAAAAACTGCTCCTGTGGTTTCCCAAGGACAAAAATGTGATGGTTTGAAACACTAGGGAAGGTGGAAATAAAAACAGATACTTAGGGAACCTGGATGCCATCAAACAACACAGGGCACAATCACAGCATCCTCCCACCCTCCCCCCTTCTCCCACTCCCTCACACACACCACACATACCCACAGACAGACACACACACACACACACCTCTCTCTGAGGCCAGCTGATTGCTACCTGGCCTCCATCTTGGGAGTGCGCCCAAACTCAGCAGTAGTTGTCCCTGAGGAGTTCCCAAGAGGGAGGTTTGGGTAAGAGGTGGGGAAGGAGGCTGGAAGGCCCAGGGTCCAGGGTGCCTCCCTGCCCTCTCCCCAGCTACTGAGTTTCAAAAAAGGCTAGAAACTCAGCACGTGAGGAGTATCCAACATTATAAATGGGATAGCTATTGGCAGGAAGATGAGGACAGAGAGAAAGACAGGGACCTCTGAACTTCTTTTTCCTCTGAAGGGAAAAAAGATTTGGGGGAAGAGAGAGGAGGAGAGGAACCCGTACACGATAGTTTTACATTATTGGATGAGAGAAAATCTGAAAGTAGGGAAAAGGAAAAACTGAGAAAGTGAGAAGCAGGGGAGGGACTGAACATGGAAGCAGCATGTTCAGGGCCCGGTGTCCGGCTCGACACACTTGGGAGTTAAGTCCACTTTACTGGCCGTCACTGCGGGTCCACACACAGTACAGAGTGTTTCTCGGTTTCACACATTCACTAGAACTATTGCTATTGTTAAACAGCCCCAGAATGCTGGGGCACGTACAGGGAAGGAGAAGAAGCTGGGAAGAGGAAGCAGGGACTTCTTTCCTCCTCCTCATTTTAAATTAGGAAATAAAACAGAAAGGAAAAATTATTTCTTTCTTTCTTTTTTTGGCTTTCAGTCCAGAAGGACCTCATCTCTGCCCCTCTTATTTGAGGAGCAAGAGGAGGAAAGGGAGAAAGGGGTGTAGGTAGGGATAAGAGGACGTAGGGCACTGCCAAGGGTGGGGTCAAAAATCAGGATTAGATCTCTGACTTGAGTCTGGACCCAGGGCAGCATCAGCAGGTAAGAATGGCAGGGTATTTTTTGTTTGGAGGGCAGGGGGAGATGCCACCAGGTGACTCCCCACCTCCCGTGCCTCACAGATTGGCCTGTTTTCCCTGATAAAACTCCTCCCAGCGGCTCTCGAAGAAGCGGCGCATGATGTGCCCAGCCTTGCCCACTTCAGAGTCATCCTCATTGAAGGTCTGGCAGTTGTCAAAGACCAGGAGTGCGTCTGCCGCGAACTCCTCCGAGCTGGTGTACCTGGGCAGGATGGAGGCAGAGCTGTGAGTAGGGGCGGGGGGTGGGGGGGAGGAAGAGTTACAGCAGCGACACACAGCCAGGGGAGGTGCTGATGTCTACCTACCCTCCCCGGAGCAGTCGCTCCCGCATGGTGGAAAAATCCATAGGGTTTTTGATAATGCGCCGGTACCCGCTCACCAAACGTGGGTTCACGGGCTCCAGGAAAGGCCAAGCTGCGTCATGGGACTCCATCTCCATCAAGATAATCCTGTCATTTCATTAAAGGGACAGAGAAGGCTGCATCACAGGAAGGACATACCCTGACCCCTCTTAGCCCTTTACTGAGGCAAAGGTAGAGCCAGAAGTCCCCAGAATTCATTCAACTCACTCGCAAAATGTGAGATCACTGTGGTGGTTCCGCATGGAGAGTCGCCGCCGCTTGGAGGGGGATAGCCCTTCTTCTGAGTAGCGGGGCGCCGCTGGGCTTTCTCGACCCCTTGACAGTACCCGGCGTCGGCGGCCATCCCCCTCTGGGAAGTTCAGCTCATAACTACTTTTCCGCTTCTGGCCTCGTTTTGGGAAACCAGGCTTCTGAGTGAATCCTCCCTCTACCTGCTGAGGATGGGAAAAGGTGAGATGAGTAACAGCTGGACGGGTACTCTGCTTACCCTCCAGTTCATTACAATCCCTGCTTGTCTAAGTGTGATTGAGGCTTCGAAATACTTCCACACATGTGCATCTATTCACGTAAGCCAATAAAGGAGGTAAAAGGAAAAGTATAATCATGAGGAAAGCAAGTGAGGCTACAGAATTTAAGTGACTTTTCCAAAGAAGGACCAGAAAGAACCCAGGTCTCCTAGCACCCAGCCTGGAGCTCTTTCCAAGGAGAGACTGTGGCATGGTAAGAAGTGGTTATCTGTAGGACTAGTAACAAATGGGGTGAGAAAGAAAACCTTTGACTTAGAAGCGGGAATGAGAAAGCAGAAGCCTTACCTGGGCCAAACATACTGCACAGAACCAATCTCCTTCTGGGACAGCCTCCATCTTGGGCCGATGGCAGTAAATGTGGCAGCCGCGGTCACACCCATCACAAAGCAGAAGAAACTCATCATTGTCACCCTTCCGGCAGACGAGACAGGTCTAGACCCAGGATATGAAGAGGCGAGGTGAGCCCTCAAGCCTCTGCCTGCTAGTGACTCCACCCACTGGGCTGGCTGTCCCAGCTTCTTACCACTTTGTTGACGGACTTCTCCCAGGCAATCGACCTCTCCAGCTGGCCCAGGCACAAGCACACCTGGGCCGCGCTCCTGCACCGCTCAAGGGTCTGTCGCCATGCTCGAATGCGAGGGGTGATCTCATATGATCTGGGGGGAGAAGGTGGCGATCTTTGGATGAGGAGCAGGACCCATTAAACTTACCCCTTCTCCCCAAGACTGAGAATGGGCGAGAGGGATCACTCACATCTCTGTAGTGGTGCACTGGGGGGCACTACTGGGCGTGCTGAGCAAGGCCTTCTCTAGCACCACCTCATGAGCTGGCCAGAGGGGCTCCCGTAGATACCGCCGCTCCACATTCTGCTCCAGGGCAGCCAGCCGCATCACAGCCAGGTCCAGAGGGTTGGTAGTTTTACGCTGGGGTGCCAGTCCTTCCCTACCTCGACCTCTCCAGGTGATATCCTCCTGAGAGTCAGGTAGATGCTCACAGTAGGACAAGTCTTCACGAGTAGAGTCTGGGCTGGGACAGGTCCAGCCCTGCAGGTGGGAGAGAGGAACAAAACTCATTGTAAATAAGCATAGAAAAAAAATTAGCATCATAAGAGGTCACTTGTGAAGTGAGCACCCAAGGTTTTTCCTAACCGAGTCCAAGAGATGAACACCTCCCCCTCAACTTCCTAGCCGGTGCCAGCCCCAGTGTACCCGAATCTGCAGATCAGACAGGATAACCCGCTGTTCCAGCTCCTCTACCCACTGAAGCACGGCCAGGTCTGTCTCATAGGTCTTCTCTTTGGGGCACCAGCTCATAATCCCTTCTTGAGAGGCAGGTAGCTGACTGGGCTCAAAGATGGGGTCTGAGAACACAGAAGACAGAGGGAAAGGCCCATCAATCAGGCTCTTGTCCACAGCAGCAGCTCAACATTTACTCTTGGCTCTTCAGCTTTGGGTCAAAGTATCTTACCAGTTGAAGGTCGTAGGCAGACTTCCTGTAAGAAGTCCCTGTGCTTGTTTAGGTGTTTGTGAAGTGCCTTTTCTCGGATGCCTCGGGGGTGCAGGGCCTTGAGCGTGGCATCCAGTGTCTCAGGATCTTGGATGCACCACCATCCAGAGCACATCTCTGTGAAGAGTTTATGTGTGGGGGTGGGGAGCGGGAACTAGCTATGAATTCCATGGCCTCTATCTGATACCACCCCAAGGGTACTCACCTGTGGGGACGGGCTGGGCAGTCAGCTGGGTTAGATAACGCTGCTCTATCTGTTTGAAGAACTTACTGGGGGGTCTCCCTCTCCGTTTTGGCTGTCCTAGCCCTGTGAGACTCTGTGGTGTTCCCCCAGGGTCTCCTGCTCGCCTCTTAGCGGCCATCCCAGGTAAAGGGGTAGAAGAGAGCTGCACTGGAGAACAGGGGTTGGCAGCACTGGGTCTACTCATCTGTGAGATGAAACGTAAGGAGATGAGGGTATTTTAGTGTTTAGAGGAACCTAATGGCCCTACCCCTTGCCCCAGCTTCAGCAACAGCCCGCACCCAAGCAGTGGAGCCTGTAGCAAGATGAAGTCAATTGCATACCACGAATTCTGGCTACTTACTGTCTTGGAGGAGGCAGGTTGCTGAGGGGAGAGTGTAGGCTGGTCCTCAGAAACTGCAGGGGGTGGTGTAGGGGCAGCATTGCAAGGCATCTGGGCTGAGAAGTTAAACCAGGGAGCTTGAGAATCGGGGATGGATTCTGCCTCATCAGGCTCTGGCTCCTCCAAGGGCTGTGTTGGGGTTGGGTCCAGTTTTCCAGGGCTGCTGTCAGGTGTGAGGACTGAGCTGCTCAGTAGGGAGCCATGGCTCTGAGTCTGGCTCAGCCAAGACAGGAAGGCTGACTGGCTGAGGTCATGCTGGCTCTGACCCAAGGACAAGGGGGAGCCTTCTGGCTCCAGGAACCCATTTTGGGATTGGGGATGGAGCTGAAGCTGGGGTTGGGGCTGAGCATGAGCCTGAAGCTGAGGATGGGGCTGAATTTCAGGCTGAAGCTGGGCATCAGGCTGTTCTGAACCCTGACCCTTAACAGGGGATTTAAGGTGCCTAGGTTGCATAGACCCAGGCTTAGTTTTCCGAGGTCGGCCTCGGGCCCGGGCAGGAGTACTGGCAGAGGTGCTGGAGCCAGCTAACTCCTTCTTCAGAGAGAAGGGGGCTGGGCTGGGGGCTGGATGGGCTGCCACTTTTAAGGAGTCAGTTTCCTGCTTTATCACATCCTCAGGAACTGTAAAGAGAAAGTGAAGAGCTTAAGACATACACTGATATATAAGGAGAAGAAAGAGTGAATAATACTGGATATACATTTTTTCTCTTGGACTTAATCCCCCTGCCCTGCCCCCTCCTTGGCTTGAGATTCAATTGGGAACAACTTGTTATGCCAATAAGCAAAGTATCTGGGAAAGAAACACTATTCTCAAGTAATCATCAGAAGCAGCATAATCATAAGCTAACATTAAGAACCAGATAGATGTAAAACGCTATCCTAAGAACTAACTCATTCTAATCCTCTCAATCACCCTACGAAGTACACATACTATTATTATCTCCCCTTTATAAATGAAGAAACTGAAGCATATAGCTAGCTGGTAAATGGCAGAGCAAGTAGGTAGGAAGTCTTACTCCAGAGTCTGTTCTTTTAACCACTATACTACACTGATTCTCATAAAATGAAAAAAGCCCAAAAAGACTAGACGAAGAAAAGGAACTAGTTAACTTTGGTTAGATAGGACTCAATTCAGGCTCCCATAAAACACCTACCTAAGCTCTCCTCTGTTCCTTCCACAAAGATACCAGCCAAATAGGGCAAGACCCAATAGCGGCGTCTGTAGCGGTCCTGACCCAGGGAGACTGCCCGAAGCATCTGGGATGAATGAAGCAGCTTTTTTCGAAAGAAGAGCTGACGCTGGGTAGGCAGCGGAAAAAGAAGATGAATAAAAAACACATTTCCAAAGAGTAACTCTGTCCGATACATGGGAAAAGGGCAATGGCTCTCAGCTTCCCTATAAAATTGATACCATCTGGGACCCCACTCATAAGGTGATCAAATCTCTCGCAGCCCACATCTCCAGCTCCTGGGAGGTTAGGAGCACAATACCTTGCTGAGTTTTTCTATTTGGCGCTCTAGCTCTGGGATGCTTGATGCTGTGGCATCAACCTGAAAAAGAAACAAATGGACAATGAGAGAAAGGGAATTATTAGAATCAAGAAAGAGAAAAAAAATCGGTTTACTAACTCCCACTGTCCTCAATGTGTGGCTAGTACCTCTCCATCTCTTCGACCCCTACGGCCATGGACAGTCGCCACAGTCTCTTCCTCTTCCTCTTCCTCCATGCCACTGGTCTCCTCCATGATTCGAGAACTGCGCCTCCGCCCCAGGCCCTCCTCTGGCCCTTGCATCTCTACCTCCGGTCGCCCAGTTCGCTTGGCCAGAGCAGTTTTCAGTCTTGAAACAGATTAAAGGAAGCTGTGGTGAGGAACTTGAGACTGCCACAAAAGGAACACCTGGAATCTAAGCCATCCTGAGCCCCGGGGTAAGATCCCGGCCCCAGGGGAGAGGCTATGCGCAGCATCGAGTTCCAGGCAAAAGGAAGTCTTGGCTATGCTTCACCCTTTTCCCCTTCTCTCCTCTCTGGGCTCCATCCTCTGTCCCGTGCCTACCTCCGGAGCCGGCCTTCGACAATCCACTTGTTTTTCCTGTAGCTGGACATACTCTCCAGAGTCTTGTCAATCTCACTGGAGGAGAACAGGGAATGAGATTTTGAGGTAGAAGTGGTAACAAACACAGAAAAGAAGGGAGACTCAAGGGTGAAGGGGCTGTAGCTGAACAGGAGTTTCATCCTAGAAGAGCACCTGGGTGGCTCAGTCAGTTAAGCTTCCACCTTTGGCTCAGGTCATGATCTCACGGTTTTTGAGTTTGGGCCCAACATGGAGCTTGCTGTCAGCGCAGAGCCTGCTTCTGATCCTCTGCCTCCCTCTCTTTCTGCCCCTCCCTTCCTCCCCGTTCGGAGGCTCTCTCAAAAATAAAAATAAACGTCGGGGCGCCTGGGTGGCTCAGTCAGTTAAGCGTCCGACTTTGGCTCAGGTCATGATCTCACGGTCTGTGAGTTCGAGCCCCGCGTCGGGCTCTGTGCTGACAGCTCGGAGCCTGGAGCCTGCTTCCGATTCTGTGTCTCCCTCGCTCTCTCTGACCCTCCGCTGTTCATGCTCGGTCTCAAAAATAAACATTAAAAAAAATAAAAAATTAAAAAAAAAAATAAAAATAAACGTTAAAAAAAAAAAAGAAAAGAAAAAAGGAGTTTCATCCTACAGCCTAGGTTGGATAAAAGTCTTAGATTCTCCCTGGGAAGGTACGAAGATACAGTCCCAAGTTGCTCCAGCATCTCCAGAGCACGCCAGTGGATACACACCACCCAGGACGACTTCAGGATGGCTAAACTCCTCCCCTTCTTGTTTCCACCAAGGCATATAGTAACCTTCCCCACCACAGCCCCTCACTTGATGATGAGCGTGGAACCGTTGAGCTCATGTACAAGGAAGGCCAGGACAGCAGCCTTCTGCTGGGGTGGCTGGGCCTGAAAAGGCTGGGTGCGCAGGCTGTCACAGAGGGCTGGCTCCACTCCATACGCCATGAGGAAGCAGCGCAGGATCTCAGACACATTGTCTCTTGTCAGTGGGATCTCAGACACCTTCTCTCCCAAGATCTTTAAGGACTGTTTGGAGGAGAACAGAATAGGAGTTACGAGAAAAAGTGGAACAACACAAGTTGAGAGAATCTGGAATAAGAAAATACACTAGGAGAGAACTATGAGGTGAGAAGAGGTAAAGAATGAAAGTTGCTAAGATGTGATGAGAAGACAAAGAAAAGGTACAAAAGGAGTAAAACTAAAGGAAAATAAGCCGAGGGAAGTCAGAAAGAAAAACAGAAGAGAAAATATAAGGAAAACAGAAATAAGAAGAAATCAGATCTCCCTTCACTTGCCCTCATTTAGGGAGGGGCTTTCATATGTTTAACTAAAAGAGAAAACAAAACTGAGATAAAGCCCTGGATCCCAGGCTCCCCAACCCATCTGGGAAAGGCCCTCACCTGACAGTAGGAAGGCAAGCCAGGATCATAGAGCGCAGCCTTCAGGAGCCGCACCAGCAGATCTTGCACCTCACCCAGGCTGTCGCCTTGACACAGGAGTCCCTCCTGTAGGACCCCCAGGCTGGGTACATCTTTGGCAGGGTCAAAGCCCAGCACCTTGCCGAAGCTGTGCAGGAATTCCACGATGGTCAAGCAGTCTGAGAAGGCCCCACTGGGCAGGATCAGACCAGGGATGCGTGAGAAGTCAGGTAGAGGCTGTAAGGATAAAAGTGGTAGGGTTGTCAAACATAACTGAAGGCAACAGTCCGGATATCTAGGAAGTTCTTCCTTGAATGGAAATGTCCACAAAACTGGCCCTTCTAGAACCCAGAAACCCAGAACCTGTTACTGTCCCCTCACTACCTGATGGTCAGTCAGACACATATCCTCTGTGGGCTTCTTCATCTCCTCCAAGATCATCTGCTGCCTCTGCCGCTCCTCCAAGCGCCTCTGCATGGCCAGCGTTTTATCTGCTTTACAGGCTGACTTGCCTTTGGCCACTTCCTCCTTTTCCTTCAATTTTACCTTCTCTTTCTTCTCTCTCTTCACTTTCTCCTTCAGTTTTTCCTGCTTTGTCTTTATCTTCTCCTTCTCCACCTACTCACCCAAGGGAGAAAGGAACCAAGAGTTCCATAAAGATTCCAGTCACCACCCTTCCCTGGTCCCCATCCTCCCCACCTCAGAGCCCACAAACATGGCTATAAAACAAGACCAACTCACACATGTCTTGCAAAATCAGTTTGATGACTTCAAAGTTATACTTGTGTGTACATGCACCTACCTTGGGTTTCTTCTTAGCTTCCTTCTGCTTTAAGCTCTTGGTCTCTTGTTTCCGCTTGTTTCTGGCCTGTAAACCATAAGGGAAGTCATTTCTCCTCAAACTCTGAAAGCATCTCTGCTTGGGCTAGGATTCAAAAACAGACAAGGGTGCTGGGGAGGAGAGGTGAGAGATGGGATGAGGGGTTGGCAATGGATCAATTCTCTCACCCTGGAGTAGTTACCCATGTGATTCTTGAACGAGCCCAATTTTCTAAATCAAGCCCCCCAAAATTCCAGGTAATGAAGGTATGCTGCTACATGAGGTGGGGAGGTGGCAAATGAGGGAGAAGGAAGAGGCAACAAAGCAGACTGTAGGAAAAGCTAACCCACTGTGTAATCTCTCTGATGTCCCTCACCTGCCCTTGGACAGTAGACTGACACTCTCCTCGTTGTACCTTCTGCTTCATCTTCTTCTTGATTTTAGTCATCTTTGCTTTATCTTCCTCATTCAGTGTTTCTGTGAGGGCAGAAAGAAAAATGAAGGGTGTGGCAGATAGATCTCCAGCATTCAGAGTAGCACATGCCTGTCACAAAGCTGGCTTCCCAAGCAGCTCCCTGAAAAATCTAAAAGTTTGGTTTTTGGTACACATAAGAAAACGCTGGGGGGGGGGGGGGGGGGCGGAATGTAGAAGAGACACTGGCTGTGGGGTAGCACAAAAAACTCAAATAGTATCTCCTGTCCAGAAGTCCCAGCCCCTAAAACAGGTGGGACTACTTTAGAAGGGGTCCTAGAAGCCCCAACAGAGTAGCTTTGTAGCCGATCTCTCTCCCAGGCTACCCAACAAGGGCAGCTACCCACACACTGATTTTAGAGCAGAGAAAGAAAACTGCCAGGGAAAGAGGGTCGTCTCCAAAGTTGGAGGCACCAATTAACAAAAAATGTGCCAGAAAGAAAGGGCTCAAATAATGGACATCGCAGTAGAACTGGATCAACAGTGACATAACTATTGCTTATGTTTGGCTCTTATGCCTTACTCTACTAAAAAATACAAATTTCTTTGCTTTTGCAAGACTGCATATTGAAGTGGAATGCTGCAAACAATAGAATATTTTAGAATTGATGTTCTTGATAGCATAATACATTATGTTCTTGATATTCTATTCTGGCATGGACACACTACCAGCACCACAGCTATACGGCAGCCCTCCAAATTAGATAGATACTATCTGCAGATAAACCAGTATATACTTCTAGTAAAATGTGTCTTGCTCCAGGTCATGTGGTCAGAATGTGGCAGAGCTGGAACTCTGAAGAGGAGTCAGAAGACTTTTCTTCAAATTTTTTCAAATTCTTCACTCTACAGCAGGGTACATGCAATATTTATTGAAAAATTACACATATTACCTGTCTATCCACTAAAACAGCATGAATAATCTTTAGATTCAGATGTGAATTCTGAACCTCCATGATGGTGGCAATGAGTAAGGTAAAAGTGTACAACCCAAACCAATAAGCCAAGGAGCTAAAAGATGGCAAGAAAGGACATGGAAGCCCTCTCCTCTCCTATCAACATCTGGGGACTGCCCAAGGCTCCACTAGGATAAGCAATTCAAGAAGAAACTGGTTGTTAAAAAAGTACCACAAAAGCGCTGGGACCCTGGTGCTGCTTTCCAGGGAGGAGGAGGTGATTCAGAAGGTTCATTCTGTCCAGACAATATCAGTCATGCTCCTAAGAAACCCAGGCATCAGCAAGTCCTTAACATTTCTAATACTTCACATAGCAAGCAGAATCCTAAAGTAAGAAACACCACTGTACCTTGGGCCTCCAGTTTCTTTAGGAGGCGGTTATCTGTCTTATTCAACAGCTCGGTGATTTTGACCTTCGGTGGCCGACCTCGTCCCCGTTTCACCTTGGGGACTTCCTTAGTCTTGGCCTTCTCAGTGTTTCGAGGTCGGCCCCGTTTCCCCGTAATTGCCTGAATCCTGGAAGGGATCTCCTCTGCTGAGAGCTGCACCCACTGCAAGCCCTAAGGTAACGAAGAAACCTGTTATAATGTGAGGGTGCAAGCCACCAGATCCTTGAATCATTCAATGCCCAGAACCTCCAAACCCCACAAAAGGAAGCTACAGCTTGTCCACCAACTCTTTCTCAGAGACAAAAGTGTATTTAACCCTGCAATGTGCACCTCTGGCGTGTCTCTCTCTTCAAAGAAATCTCCAACAGGCATACGGGGACTGAAACTGAAGTGCTCACGACGGACATTGTGTACCACGTTGCGGCTCAGGTACTAAAAGGAGAAGGAAAAGTGGCATTAATGAAGTGATAGCCCTATCATCCCTTGGTCCAGCAATAGCACAAGGATAAGCCAAAGAGCAGAAAATGCTAGCCTGTTGCCACTGGGCCCAAGAAAGGGGCCTGTGCTTCCCTTAAAAAGCCCGTGAAAGCTACATTACCTTGATCACTTCTGGGAACTGTTTCATCCTCTTCCCACAGGGGCCATAATACCATGTCTCCCCCTGCCATCGGTGGCTACCCTTCTTGATGCGCACCTCTCTCCGCCACCTGCCAGAGAAGCACACGTGCCCTGCCGCCAGGTCACACCCCTACCCACACACAAGCCACCCCAGGAGCCAAGCCCACTGAGATGACCCTCCCTGCATCTGTCTAGCTAGAACTGCATGTAGACGCAAACAGCATGAGACACAAACTTGGCTGGAAAGCAGATCCACAAATCCCTCAGGGCCTTGGAGAAAAGTAACCCACCCAACTACATGTGCCCAGAAAGACCTCCACTCCTGCCTTTACATAAAGTCAGTATAATGAGCAGCCAGGAACCCCCTCCCTGATGCCATTCATGGCAATGTCTGGGTTTCCAGCAAAGAGGAAGAAGACTTGAGGGAATAAAGGCAGAAAAGATAGGTGGGGAGGCAAGCAGAAGAGTAAACTTGCTGCTGACTCCATGAAATGCCTTCATAGGCCAAGGTTTAGTGAGGAACTCTGTTCTGAGAAACAGATTATTCTAAGACTAAGCCCTATCTTTCTCTCAAAACATTAAGCAGAATTCTGGGACTCCTAGGTGGCTCAGTCAGCTGGGCTTCCAACTTCAGCTCAGGTCATGATCTCACAATTTGAGTTCGAGCCCTGCATCTGGCTCTGTGCTGACAGCTAAAACCTAGAGTCTGCTTCAGATTCTGTCTCTCCCTCTCTCTCTGTCCCTCCCCTGCTCGCACTCTGTGTGCCTGTCTCTCTCAAAAATAAATATTAAAAAACAAAACAAATCAACCCTTTAAGCAGAACTCAGACTTGGTGACCACAAGTAGCCTAGAGGGGTGGGAGTGGAGAAGATCAGGAAGGCAGTTATTCTTATAAGTCCCTTGATGTCAACTGGCTTGCTCATTCTGGTCACATACTATTCCTGCCCTTACCTCTCCAAAGAGCATAAATAAATAAATAAATAAATAAATAAATAAATAAATAAATAAATAAATAATCAATCAATCAATCAATCAATCAATCAATCCCAATTTATCAGAACTCAGCCATTCCTCATTCACTGCTATCCCTTCTCTAAGCATATAAAACAAGTCAGCTAATTTGGATATCTGAGCTCTAGGGTCACCTGCGGACTTTGGAAAAGATAACAGCTGCAGCCCCTGGAGCAAAAAAGAAGTAGCCACTAGATGAGGGAAGAATAGGTGAGGGGAGGCAGATCCTGGGAGAAGAATAGCCTAAGAATGTCAGGCATTATCATTGCAGATAACTGTCCTTTAATCCATTCTTGTCTAGCCCATTCCTCTCCATCTCAGAAGAGATGAGCTCTCTTTCCTTCTTCCTAGAGTCATTCATTAAATTTGTCAAGGTCAACATATGGAACAAACTAGAGCATTTACCCATGCTGGAGGGGAAGACGAACTTCTTCTGGGGTAGCAATACGTCTCCTCAGGACATCACCTTGGGAGGAAGACAAGGAATATCGAGTTAAGAATTCAAGCAAAACAGGGAAGGCCAGCAGGGAAGGGCTAAATGTCACATAGGACAGAAACTTTTCTTGGAACTGGCTAGGAGTAAAACAGAATCTGGACACTCACCACTACCAGAAGTAGTGACTCCTTCTCCAGTGATTTCCTCCAGGTCAGCAGTGGTTTCAGGGAGGCTGCTGACATCTTTATCTGCCGGGGAGGCTGTTGGGAGGACAGCTGCTGGGGAAGCTGCAGGGGACACTTTTGGGGAGGTCACCGGGGAGGCCGTCAAGGAGACTTCTGAGGAGACTGGTGGAAGGGCTGCTGAGGAAGTTGGAGAGACAGCTGGGAATGCTGCTGGGGAGATGACTGGAGAAACTTCTGGGGAGACTGCTGGCGAAACTGCTGGGGAGACTTCTGGAGAGATTTCCAGGGAGGCTGCTGGCGAAACTGCCAGGGAGACTGCCGGGGAGGCTGTTGGTGGGGCTGCTGGTGAAGTTGCTGGATGGAGCTGAATAGTGGATGACTGGTCAGGGGCTGGCTGGGTCAGAGATGGTGGGAAGTCTGAAGACTGAGTCTCCATTTCTTCCTGTTCTGCATCACTACCATTGTTCAGGTCAAAGGTGTTATCTGGAATCGAAAGGGATAAGATGGATAAGGAAAAATAGTGTCCTACAAAGAAAGAGAATCTACTCGTCAAACCTAGACTAAGCTAAACAGAATTACTTCCAGTGCTTTCCCCTGGGGTTGGAAAATGAGAAGTAGCCTCTGGCTATCCTCCCCAACCATTCACGAAGGTCAAAGAGCAAAGATACTGCTGTCACTGTGTGAAGAAGTACCTTCTACCTGGAGCCAGTAAGGCCCCTGGCCTTTTTCCTCCTTTCCCACAAGTTCTTCTGGGTGAGGGCAGAAGTCAGAGTGTAACAGCCTATGCCTTTAGTCTATCCCATAGCCCCCTCAGCTCCCAGCAAGGCACCCACCCCTAAGACTATAACTATGGAACTGGTTCTCTCACCTTTTCCTGGGCCACAGACTCTCTGTCCTACCTCTCTTCACTTACCTTGCAGGACAGACTCCCCAAGGACAGGTGGAGAGGTGGGGCTGGCAAAGATAGAGGCTGAAGTTTGACTATCATCTGCCAGGAGACTGAAGGCAGTGGCGTTATTGAGGGAAGGGCAATCAAGGGCAGAAATCACAGGGCTGTCCTCAAGAGGCAGCTTGTCCTCTGTACCCATCAGCTCCGTGTCATCTATACCATAGAGTCCTCCACTCACTGGCTCTTCAGGATGTGGAAAAATCAGAAAACAAGATTTAAGAAATACTGGTATTATATCCCAATTCTAGTTCCCATCTTTCTAATATTAAATTAAGGACGTATCACAGGTCTCTCCCTGAAACGGTAGTCACCAGACTTTAGGGATTGTAAAAGCTTGAAATAGAAATGAAGGGAAAAGCATTGACTCTGTATTAACGCACAGACCAACGGAAAATTCTAGCATCCATCACAAAATAGGCCTTTCTTATATTTTAGTGGGGTAAAAGGTAATTGTTCACTGGCAACAGTTTCCTTTCTAGTTACTGAGAACTCAAATAGCCCAACTGTGTGGTAATAAGTCCTTATCCAGTGAATTATTACAGCTCAGGGCTCTTGGCCAAAAGGAACACTAGGAGAGAACCTGGGAAATGAACCAATTCAGCTCAGAGTGCAGTTGGCCCAGTCATACAGTGGCATGAACCTGTGGTTGGCCACAGGATTATCTGGAGGCCCCAATGCCCCAAATTCCTAAATACTTTCCCTGGTTTACTATCTCTTCTAGGTGACAGAGCTGGCTACCTTCTACATGGACATACTGAATGAAGCCAGCCTCCAAGCCTACCCGGTGCCAGAGGGTTGAAGGGCTCCAGAGAGACTTCACTGAGGATTGGAGTGTCTTCCAGTTGATCAGGAAGATGTGAAGGATCATCTAAGCAGCTCACTGTGGGGTCAGGGACCAAGACTGAGACCTCTTGGTGTAATGATTCCACAGAAGGGACAGAGCCATTGTAGCCACACATCTTCAGTTCTAGGAAATCCCAGAAGAGGGCAAAAGTCAAAATCAGGGCCTTAAACTGGTTCATTCAGCTACAGTAGACAGCCAGTCTTTGCTAGAGGGATGTTCATTCTTTCAGTAATTAGGGGTACCAGTTTTATGTTGGATTCCAATCATACCAAGATACTCTAGTGAGCAGTGCTAGTAAAATCCTATTGCAGGTAAAGAGAAGGGAGAAGAGAGTGGGGTCTGAGACAAGAACCCTGTCATGTTCTCAGCTATTTCCCCCATCTAGTGGGAACAGGTGGTAAACAGAGAAAATACCCTGTGATTTTACAGGGTGGTCACCCTTATATGTGGAATCAATAGCAAACTAAGCATTTATCTATTTTGAGGACAAAGATAAGAGGGACTGTCACATGTACCAGTGCTAACAACAACAACAAGCAACAGGAAACTGAGTAAACAAGCAATGGTATGCTCTGCCTGTTTCTTCCCTCCTTCAGATGTCAATCACTACTAAGGCTCAGCCCACTTTAGCAGCCCAGTCTGGCCTTGCCACAGCCAAGTCAAAATTGGCCTCAATGCCCCCTGCTAAAGCCCCAACCCCTTCCTATATTTTGGAAGAAGCCCTTCTTGATGCAGGGTGTCTGTTGGGGCTGTTTCAGGCTCGCCCACCTGCCCTCTCCAGGCCAGCAGCTCTGCATGAGCTTGAAATAATTTGCACTCCCACTCTCGAGCTGGTGCTGCTGCCACAAAAACACCAGCCACTTGGCTCTGCTAATCACCAACATGCAAATCAGCCTCCACTGCAGAGAGCTGGAAAGACAAGTTTTCCTCACCTCAAAAAGCCACTGCCCCCCATAGACCCCTTTTTCCTCTCCCAACCCAACTCACAGAGCCATAGTTATACCTGGCTGCTCTTCTTCCAGCTCCAGGCTGCCTACCAAGCCAGTGCCATTCTCTGCCACAACTGAAGTCAGCTCCTTTTCTGCCGCCTCACTGGGATGGATACCACTGCCTACCTCCTGGGAGGGTGCAAAGGTCTGGATGCTGGATCCCAACATAGGAGAAGTCTGTGGGGAGGTGAAAAAACTAGGGGGTCCATTGGGCATCACCTCAAAATTCTGGTCAGGAAAGGAATCATACAGTTCCTGTGAGTCGAAGTTAAGCCCCATGGGACTCTGGGTACCGTTGGCCCAGAACTCTTGGCTCCCAGCCCGAAGGTTAGTGTTGTGACTTGGGGATGAAGGTTGCCGGCTGCCCCCAAGGATGCCGTTGAGTGGGTATTGTCCCCCCGAGAACTGGGAGAGAAGGGGTGGGTCCTTGAGGTTGCTGCCAGGATTGGCAGATGGGTACTGTGAGTAGTTCCAGAGACAGTCGTAGGCCACGCTGGGGTGATGGAGGTGTGAGGTGCTGGAGGAGTGGGGAGCAGAGTTCAAAATCCCTGAAGTAGTAGTGTGAGATACAGTAGATAAGCCATTAACATTCACATCCCCATTCAAACCTGGCAGAGAAAGAGGAAAAAGGGTCAGTTACAGATATGTATGCAAGTAACTCTACCACCTCTACCAAAAGAACAGCACTGACTAGAAAAAGGGAAGGTGAAGGGGAGGGGGATTCCCCCTCCACTATATTTATAGCTTTTCAGTCTCCAGGGAACACCAAACCCAGATGCTCCTGGATGTAAGCTTAGCAACTGCTTCTGAGGCTGCTGAGTAGGGGGCTGGGGAGCTCTCTTGGCCTACCACAGGAGCGACCAGCAGAGAGCTGGCTGCTGCTGCTGCTCAGGATTTTTTATTTTTTTATATGAAGCTGCCTGCAGACTCCCTACAGTGACTTGCATTCTTCTCCACCCTCATTCCCTAGAGGAATTCTTCCCTTGGAAGTGGCATGACTGAATTCTCCAGGCCCCCCCCTTACCCCAGAGCCTGTTTGGCCCCACAGTGGCACCAGAAGGGACGGCCTCCACCTCACTGGCACATGCAGATCCAGCACTTTGTGCTGGGCTAAGAATAGAATCTGCAGTCACCACAGCAGCAAGATCCCAACTCAGAAGGCTGGGCTCAGTCCCTCCCCATTGGAACTGGAGGGTAATATTGCAGGGGGAAAAAAAAAATCACTGCGTGACTAGTACTACAGACTTCAGTTCTCAACACCAATGGCCACCTCTAGACTGGAGGACAATTCAAATAAAAGGAACCAGATACTAAAGAAGCTGAGGGGGAGAAGGGTCCTCAGTGTAATAAAGGAGCTTCTATCTGCAACCCTGTTGTGGAGAACAGAAGGGAGAGGTGGTTAAGTATAAGCCTACAGCAGTATTTTTCTGCTGCAAGGAAGGAGGAAACCATTTGGGCTTCTCTCTGCTTCCAAGCATAAAGTACCTGAGACCCAGGCAAGATTAGAGAAGCACTTGGCACAGCTATGGTACAGAACAATTGATAAGCCAAATCCAGGAAAAGACCTGATCCTGGCAGCAACACTTCTGTCTGGAATTATAGACGTTTCTCTCTAGGGAACTAGGTAAGCATTTAAAACTTCCCTGTCCCTATCTTCAACTCTCAAGGACAGGGGTGGCACACACACTTCAAGCATCTGCCCTCTTCTTTGCTACACAAACTGAAAGGCAAATACATCCCAATCTTTACCCAATCCCTCCACCCCCAATCCTAGGGCTGGCTTCTCCAAGCTTTAAAAACAGCTTCTCAGAGGGCTGGACCTTTATCTCTCTCATGGGTCCACAAGTAGTTATCAGAAGCAGTAGCCACCTCACCATTCTGGCAGTAGCCAGGGAACAGGGCTGACAGAAGAGCAGGCTAAGATGAAAAAGCCAGGATGTTTTTCTAATCCGTTCCAACCTTAAGACTAAGAGTATCACTTCCATAAACCCCTAGAACTTGTTCTTAGAAACTTGCTTTCTCTCCAGCAGCTGAAGTTCTGAAGATTTACTTCCTCCCTCCCCACCTGGCAAGAAAAAGAGCTGTTGTGAGGTAGGGGAGCCAAATCTTATCCCATCAACCTGCTCTAAAGGAATGATGCCCACTCCCTCCCCAGGCCATGTGGCCCTCACACTCACTTTTCCCTTGCTGGGGGAAGTTCATGGGAGACCCGTTAGTGTAGAGGCCCTCCCCTGAGGAGGGAGAGGGTTTCAGTCCTGAGGCAGCAGGTGCAGGGGGAAGGCCAGTAAAGTTAAAATGGTCGTTTGCCTCCATTTCTGTAGGAGGGGAAAGAGAGGGGAAAAAAAATACTGGCGGTTAAACAAGGTTATGTCACCTGGAATCTTCTAGAGGGAATGCCCCCTCCCCTCCATCTACTTACCCTTCTCCTACCTAAGTACTGGGGAGTGTGTAAGGGTACAGGTTGAAAGATGAAGTGGAGGAAATATACCCCTAACTGGACAATGACCGTACAGAAATAGTCTTTTAAAGTCAGACTCATAGAGATACAGAGTTAGTGAGAAAAACCAAGCTATAAGCCTGAAGGAATCTTCCCCTTGTGTGAATCATAATTCTTAAACTTCCAGTTTAAGTTATCCCTCTATGTTAGATATTAACCCTCTATTATAACATTTTAACCTTCTCCATCCTTTTTTTTTTTTCTTTTCCCCTCAAGGTAAGGCCAGAGTCCCATTCCCAGGGACCACAGAAGGTTCTCAAAGCCATCTTTTTGATAGGAAGCCATGGAGATGGGGGTTGTTGGCAGAAAAAGCATTTGATACATTTGCTGCTTTATTATTATACTTGAGTTAAATAATTTCCATGTAACCCTATCCACAGCCCTAGACATCTGAAGAAGATAGTATAGTACCTTAGCAAAGGAATATGGAAAGAATATATTTTAGGAAAGGGGACCATAATAGCAAAACTCAAATCATCCAGCAACACTTCTACTCCTTTTTCATGGTTTTCTAAGAACATAGCTCAGAAAAATGTCAGAGGTGGAAAACTGATTAAAGAGGGTGTCCAAAGGAATATTGGTCTGTTATACCTATATGGTTACTTCCTAACGTTTTAGTTTTGTGGCTTAAATGTAAAGGGTCACAGAGAGAATAGCTGGACATCTTACATTTATAAAGGGTGGTGGCTCATTTGGGGGGCAGTATGGTTAAAAAGCTCTTCACCTTGTCCTGAATATGAGGTGATATACTACTAGGAATAAGAAGAAGTAAAGCCCTTGGTCAGAATATATTTAACTTTGACAGAGGAAAGATAAAAGGAAAGAAAAGATGCAGAAGCCAGAATTATTGTAAAAGTCTGATACATCAATCAGATATACCTATGATGTAGTAGTGCATATTAATTTGATATGTAAGAAACATGATCGGGGCACCTGGGTGGCTCAGTCAGGTTAAGCGTCCGACTTCAGCTCAGGTCATGATCTCACGGTTCGTGAGTTCAAGCCCCGCGTCGGGCTCTGTGCTGACAGCTCAGAACCTGGAGCCTGTTTCAGATTCTGTGTCTCCCTCTCTCTCTCTGACCCTCCACCGTTCATGCTCTGTCTCTCTCTGTCTCAAAAATAAATAAACGTTAAAAATAATAATAATAAAAAATAAAAAGAAAAAAAAGAAACATGATCTGTCTTAATACAGAAAAAGCAACTCCTTGGGTTACTATGTTTTTAAAAAGGGCAGAAGAATTCAGGCAGAAAAATCTATTTATTTATTTATATTTTTAATAATGTTTTTTAAAGTTTATTTATTTCCAGAGGGAGAGAGAACACAGGCGCACACGTGAATGGGGAAGGGGCAGAGAGAGAGGGAGACAGAGAACCCCAAGCAGGCTCCGAGCTGGAACCCATGAACCACCAAGATCATGACCAGAGCCAAAAGTAAGAGTGGGACACTTAACCCACTGAACCACCAGGTGCAAGGTAGAAAGATTTCTTTATCTAGCTCCCAAGATGAGGCAATAAGCAAATCTAGATGACATTTTAAATAACCTCTTTTTAAAAAGAATCAGAAAAACATATATGACCATATGACCACTGCCCAAGGTTTGGAAAAATCATGTTTTTAAATACGCTAGATAACGCAAATTAGACACCATTAGGTGTTCTAAGCATGAACTGTATTTATGACATGATAGCTAGAAGATTTTCCAGGCTAAATACCCTAATTGTCCCTACCTTTATCAATTTTAACTGAAATTAAAAAAATAAAATAAAAGCAATCTGTATTTTGTTGATATAAGAGGAAAAAGTTTTTAGGATTGATCTGCTTCCCATCTTCACTCTAAAATAAGCAGCAGACCTAAACCTGCTGTGCGTCAAAGAAACTGGTCTTACAGAGAAAAGACCTCAGGATCCCCCAGGATTTCCCTACATTTAAAAAGGGCCACTCCTCAGTAATGAGGGATCTGAAAAATAAGCATGAGATTAGTGATCCTTCTTTTTTTTTTTTTTTTTTTTTTTTTTTTTTTCAACATTTATTTTAGGACAGAGAGGCAACAGAGCATGAGCGGGAGGGCAGAGAGGGAGACACTGGGAATCGAAACAGGCTCCAGGCTCTGACCCATCAGCCCCAAAAACCTGGCCAGGGGCACCGAACTCCACGGACATGGTCGTATTGACTGAGAAATCCGGGCAACTTAACAACGACTTCGCCACCCACGAAGCGCCCCATTTTTTTTTTTTTTTTTTTTAAATTTTTTTTTATAGTGATCCTTCTGAAATGAAAGGAGGAAAGTTCATTCCCCAATCTTCTAGGTTAGGTTAGGTTCCTTCCAAAGCTTACATCACAGAGCAAAGAGGACATGCAGTAATTCATTTCGGAAGTCCTAGAAATGCTATTCCTGGAGAGCCAATCTCATTGGATCCCCACTTCTTTCCTCCCCCAGTTTTATGCATAGCCCCACCCCCCATGATGTGTGTGTGACATATACACACCTTCTCTCCTATGTGCACCAAAGGATATCCTTCCACTCAATGATAGGCCACAGTTCATTTTTCCAATTTCTATTTGAATCTGTGAGGAAACTAGTGACCTTCTCCTCTCGGCTACTCTGGGAGAGCACAGCATTTCCGGTCTCATAAATTACATACTAATAAGAATAAATGGATGGCTCACAGAAATCAGATAAGTAAAAGGAATGGGAAGTTATCTAGTGCCTGAGGTCTGTTTCCCCACTAGCCTCCACTGAAGGGTCATCAGGACCACAATCGCTTCATTTACAGGAAGATTCCTAGAAATATAAAATACTCTTTGTGCTGTGCAGTGAAAATAGCACAACATAGTGGGCTCTACATTCAAATCCCAACTCTACTACTATTAGCTGTGTGACCCTGGGCAAGTTACTTAATGTTGCTGAGCCTTAGTTTCAGGATTACTAAAAATTTTAGTACTCACCTCCATGGCTTGTGAGGATAAAAAGATAACCAGCCCCAAAGATCAAAATATAAATATAATTTGAAACCATTACCAGTACTATAAAACTAGGGGTAATCCTTCCAGTCAGACTTCTTTACCCTTGACTCTTGATTTCAGATGTCACTTACCTATGGGATCATACTATGGGAATGCAAAAATGTAGACAGCAATAAAGCCAGGGTTATTTCATTTCAACCTTCCTACCCAAGATGCTTTTCACAATAATGCCTGAAGGTAAATTATGCCCTCCCATCTATACTCTCCCTCCTACTAAGGAGAACAGGTAAAGCAAAGGAGAGTGTCTCCCTTTGAACTAATAGGATTTTGGCCAAATGAAAAAAGAAATCAGCACCCAACCCCCAAAATAGCAGACAGCTCTCATGACCAGGAAGTACAATCAGGCCAGCACCCAGCCCAGTCCCAGGAGTATGTAAACGGATCTCTTAAGAGACTCTATGCTTCATTTTTAAGAATTAAGGGACATTGCTCCTTATGCTTGAAGCAGTAAAGCCCTTGCCACACGGCCAAATAAGGCTCCTTTTCAACTGTTTTCCTCAGTCCCAATTGAAAAGTTACTTACCCTGTGGATCTGTGACATGATTTTAACACAAAAAGGCTGACAATGCACAAAGTGTTGAAATACAGATTATAGATTTCAACACTGTTGCAGGTGCCCTGACCAATTCTAACACCCAGACTTCTGAGGCTACCCCCAGAAAGACAACACACATTAACCATCCAGCCTGATACTTTGGCAGTAGCTGCAGCTTTTTGGTTCATTCTTCCTATATAGTATACCAAAGTTCCACAGAGAGGTTCCTAAATTGGGGGGGGGGGCAGTCAGGGGAGTAGGGAGGGTAGGAGGGAAGAGGTAGGAAGAGATTTCAAATGTTTTCTTTTTATTAAACAGGAAATGCAAATTTTACTGTATAGTAAATAAATCATACCGCTATCTTTTGGCTCCGTAATTGTGAATGTTACAAAGGATATTTGTCAACTCTACTCATCTCTGGATTCACCTACCATACCCTAATAAGTGGTTCCTAACCAGGGGTGATTTTGCCTCTGGAGACATTTAGAATTGTTGTTGAAAAGTATATACTACTGGCATCTAGTAAGCAGAAGCTAGAGATGTTTCTAATGATCCTGCAATACACAAGACAGCCCACCACACAACAAAGAATCTTCTGGTTCAAGAGATAATTTGTGCCAAGGGTGAAAAATCTTGCTCTAATACAAAAACTGCCCCATTCCCCAATTCCTGTCCCACACCCTGAGGGATTACTTTTATATCTAAAAATCCCTTCCCTGGCTAAATTGTTTTCCTCCACTAATTCAGTGCAAAGTGCCAACCCATGCCTTCTTCTCTAGTAAAGGACAGCCCATTCTGACAGCCCTGGTAACAATCTTCCCTTGGAACTCTGACTCAGACTACAGCATGTACAGACTGAGGCTCATTCTCTCAAAATGTGGTTTCTTTAACCCCTTTCATAGGGCAGTGAGGCAGGAGAATGATGAAAGAAGACTATATATACTAAGGGGGGCTACTCAAAGACAATTGCTATGTCTAGGCTGCTCAGGAGAACACAAAGATGACTGTTCTCTGTCCTTATTTCTTCCAAACTATGTAGGTTTTACGGCATCAATCGGATATTATGTTTTACCATTGTATGTCCAGCACCTAATTTAGAGCTAAGTACATAAAAGAACCAAAAGAAATATTTGTTGAATGCACAGATTACACAAATGAATGAATAAATCTATCTTTTCTGCCACTGCCAGCTTACTCATCTAATAAAGGCTGTAGTTTTTGTTCAGAGAACCCAAAAGTTAATTCTTCACAGAGGT